ACATTAAATAATGTGCCACTCATTTTTATAGTATGTACATTATTTGTAAATTTCAGTTCCTAATATGACGTACATTTTCCATTCATTTTGTATACTGTACACACTACAATACCACTGTATGTGTGGGTGTGTATTTACAACCACTATAAATGATACCATTAGTTTATAAATTAAATAAATTAATTTATAAATATATAATGTATCTTATTGTGTCTCAGTATATAGTGAAGCTGGTGAGTGGATAGTACAGTCAGTACTGGATGGTAATGATCTCACTAGTAAGAACTATCAAGAAAAGTATCAATTGTACAGCAAGACGAGAACATGGTGGATGGATCAGCTAATAGAATATCCAACAGAGAGGGAAATGAAGCTTCAGAGATATATACAATCTTTACATCAAGACCTACAAGTGGCTCATGAGAACAAAGTATCACTACAGGAGGCACTGGTTGAGGCCAATAAACAAGGTATATAGGATACTACACACACACACACACACACACACACACACACACACACACGCACACACACACACACACACTTTAACTGTACTAACTGATTACTATTATGTAGTATTGTGTGGTTATTGGTAGTGTGAGTGTGTGTATTAGTACTGGTTTACATTATGATGCTAGTGGATTAGACAATGTTGAGTATGGAAATAGTATTCTGTACTCAATATAGGTCAAATTGTGGATGCATTAGAAATAATGAGATTCATGTAGAGTGAGCTCTGCTTACCATATATGGTATGATTAGCAATAATCATAGTACATGTATTTATGGGCTACTGTACATGCAGTGCAAATTTGTATAAGCAAGAAATAATATTGAATATGATTATCTAAAGGCGGATTTACAATATGACATTAGGCCAGCGTACCGTCAATTTTTAATCAAAAACGTGGGCGATTTGACCTTTTGACGCATGCTTTCCGTTGGAATAGAACCAGATTCTATTCCAGCGTCAACGTAACATCAGGACTAGCGTAATATTGTAAATCCGCCTTTATGGTTTGTACATTGGTTGAACCAGTCTTTGGTGTGTATATATTATCTGTATATTCTGTTGTGTTATTATGCATATACTGATTACTCTCTTCTTTTATATTATTATTCAGTTAAAGGTGATGATAGTAATGATATTATGAGCAGTGTATTAGAAAAGATGAGACAAGAACAGGAAAAGTTGATTGAAGAGAAACAGATTATTACTGGTTAGTGTATCATCAGTACATAATATTAGATGAGAGAATATTCTATTAATGTATAGAGGACAATGAGAAACTGAAACTCAAGATTGCTGATATCAAGGAACAATATCTCAAAGAGAAACAGATCATTACTGGTTAGTGTATCATCATCAATCAATAATAATTATTAATATTCTATTAATTTATGGACCATAAAGAAAAGGACTTGCTAATAGCAAAACTAGTGAAAGAAAAACAAGAGAGAAGGAAAGTGACTAGTTCCATTGGACTACAATTTAATTACCTGATCCCTTCAATGGGTAAGAGTATTATTGTGTGATTGACTGAGTGTATACAATTGTGTGTGTACTCACTGTATATATTTTGTATAATTGACAGATAAATTGGATTGTCTGAGTGATGTCCAGGTAGCAGAGAGGAAGCTGTTTTTAATTCAAGGAGACAAACCTCAACTGATGAATTGGGAGAATTATG